GAATGTATAATTACGAATTAACAGAAATACTGAATATAAATATTCAGACGTTGATCTAATTGAAAACTCTGAAGAATATGGAACAGTAATTTTTATATGGAACACCATTGTATGAACACTCTGATCAATGCATCATAATCAAGTAAAAAAATTATGGATGAATCTGCTACTTGTCTCGAAGATTAAAATTTTCTCTGAACGACAACAGTACAATTTCCTCCATTTTTTTTTTGCAATTTTTTTCTACAATTGAACTTTGACTATGTTAGTTAAACGACAAAAATCTTAACATTTCGTTATCATAAAATTGTGACAAAAAAAATCGTACAGCGAGTTTCAAGGGTTTCAAACTGTTGCAAAGAGGTTGTTGTTAATGATTAAAAATTTCGAGGAAAATTAATCGTTTGTGAAGATATAATCAATTCGTGCAACGATTACAAATTCGTGAATTCCCATCTACTCGAGACGAACAATTACAACTTGATCTAATTAAGATCGAGAAAAGAAGGAAGAAGAAGGACGTTAACCCAATTGACCTAATACCGAGGAAAATCAATAAGAGGGGGCGAAAGTCATTTTCAAATTTACCGCGTGACGTGGGCGAGCAATAGGTTTCTAAACTTAAAGCTCGTTACCCGAGCTTTTTGAGTCCTCTTTTGCATCAATGATTAACCTTTCGCAGATCAAACGTGCCTGTCAGCAAGTAAAAACTTCGAATTAATATAACCCGTATTTTTTTGACCTTTCATTCGACCCAGCCACATCCAACCATAACGATTTCTATAACTGACGTTTTAAGCAAGTTTCTCCGTTTTTTTTTCTTTTTTTTTTTTTTTTTAATAAAAAATTGTATCGCCAGAAATAATCAACAGGAGATTATTCTAAAATAAAGTGCAAAAATATAAGTAGAGTAAGAAAATAAACTTCAAACATGTTTCGTTGAAAATTATCTTATATACACTCGAGTGTACTTGATAAATTTTCTCGACGATTTTATTCTACATTTTTTACTGAATTAACTAAATTCAGAAAGATTTAACGAACAAATTTTATTTCTCCTCTTTCACGTCGAATCGCCCCTTCATATTTCGTAATCTTGTTACAATTTTTTCAACGAAGCATCTACAAACTTCGTTATACAAATACACATTTTAATAATTCTTGACTTCAAAGCTCGAACGCTGTGAACTCGATCGAACCAAACCGATCGTTCTTTCTATCTCTCCGAAAGTTGCGGAGAAGATTTTGCGTTATAACAGTAATCCGGAAGTTCGTCTTCGAAGAGAGGGGTTGACTGGAGGAGGAACTTTACTTGGTCGTAATACTTGAAGGACACTTGGACAGACATATCTGGGGTTGGTAGAATTCTGGAAACGCTAGTCCAGCCGTGATGGCTTAATCCTCCGCCGGTTTATCGCGATAGATTGCTGCTTTTGGATTATTCTGCGGACTGTGGGAAATGCACGTATTCGCCGCCATTCTCGACTCTCATAGCAATTTGTATCAGCACGATCGTCAGCCAATTCTAAATAAATTTCACGGGCGTATTTGCCGGCCGATTCTAAATAAATTTTACAGCGTACTCGTCAGCCAACTCTAAATAAATTTTACAACGTGTTCGTCAACTATGCTCTAGAGAGATTTCTTAGCACGTTCGTCACCTATATAAATTCTAAATAAATTTTCCAAATTTCAACACGTCGCTCTTTTGAATGGTCTATCGATTTTTGTTTGCTTGGTAAATAGAAATAAAATTTTCATTTTGCAACGACCACGATTTCGAATGTTTTGCAATATACAGCTGTTTCAGTGAAATTTGAAACGCCACGAGAGTACGAGTCACGAAAAGAGAAAAGTGAGAAGGTTAGAAACAGTGGACTAAGTGGCCAGGAAAGGTGGCGAACTGCCTAGACTGGTGGCTGCGTGCGTATGTCAGATTTATAGTAGCCATAAACGAACGTGGAACTTTCCGTACTTGCGTTTCCACACCGGCAAGTTCTCGCGCGCGTTTACGTGTAGTTTCCCACCGTGGCGTCGAGGCATAAACCGAGAATATACGATCGCGGCCTGCAACACCGATGTCCCGACGTATGCTAATTTTCCACGAGCATTAAACTGGCATCGAGGTCGCACACGGGCTAAACAACCACGCCTCTTCAAGACGCCGGTGCTTTGCGGAATGATAATACTCCGCGAGAGAAATACGACAGTTTGTATCGTAGGCGGCGCGAAAGTTATTCGCACGGTCGATGAAGATGCTTTGACCATCGTGAAACGAAAACTTACAAGCGAATCCCAGTTGGATTCGTTTCAAAGTGTGAGCTCTTCGAGTTGGAGAAAATTTTTACATCGAGAAGCAAAGATACTTTTGTTATTAAAGGCTAAATTTAAACGCACACTCCGAACATTTTTTAATAATAATTGTAATTGGATCTGTCACAATTTTGTCCGCCATTTTGTTGAACATGTTGGAGTATAACCATAACATGTGATGTTGAATAAAACGGCGACAGCAGGTTTTCAAAGGCAGAGAGGAGACCTCGAACAGCATTGTCGATTTAGCGGAGAAACAAATTTTTCAACGTGAATTTTTACGATTTTCTTTAACGAAGTTGTAACAATTTCAAATATAGACAATCCTTCATCGAGCGTACAAATACTTTCGTCCAACTCTGTATATATTTTTTGGATTTTCTCGTTTTCTTAATTTTTCATCTGTCTCGTGCGTCATACCGACACAGAGATAAATGCACAAAATATCCACCGCGATGTAAAATTGAACGCCTATACCAGAGAATAAGTTATATTCAATTGAACAGAAATTTATTTCAAATTAAATTAGAAAAAGAGACAAATTAGATTGGAAAAAATGAGTGATAGATGAGTGATTAGGGTATTGAAAATTTACTAAATTATAAAATTATTAAAAACCCAGTGAAACAAAAAATTGTGATACATAATCAGCTGAGAAATAGACTGAAGATGATTAGAAGCTGAAAGAATTACTAAAAGTTACCAATTCGAATTCCGATTTAAAAAAAGAAATTACAAATTTCTAAAATTTACCATTTTCACGCTTCTGAGAATTTTTCTTTTTCAATAAAAATACTCAACGTCGTGATACTTAACTTCGTCCGCTCGATGTCCTGGAATTTTGAAAAAAAAGAAATTAAAAACGCACACCGACTCGCCGCGAGTCTCGCGCAAAATTTGAAAGGCTAAGGCCACACATTGACCACACACCGTGAAGTTCATCGAAAGTAGTGGACCGAGTGGACGGTTAACGAGCTGATATAGTTTAATGGCCGAGGGTTAACATCGAGGCCCCATAATCCCAAACGTAATCCCGCTTTACGCTGCTCGCGCTTAGAGAGAGAGAGAGAGATGCTGACCTTTGAGCACCTAAATATCGGCTAAATCACATTATCGACGCGGTAAATTGCATCTTCCCTTCTATCTTCGATACTGTTGCGCGCAAACCTCATTTTACGATCAACTTCTTGCCCCTTATTAAATACTCTTTCTACGCTGGAATGTTGAAATAATAGTAATTTTCCGCAATGTATTTTAAACGATTTATTTTGACGATGATCACGAACGAATATCATAATTTTGTATAACGTATTTTGAAACCACACTGTTCCCAGCAACGTGGTGTGATGTTAAACGTGTTACAACTTGAAAATTATTTCCTTTTCTTTCTTATACGTATAAATTTTCATTTTGTTCCACTATATCTCGAGTTTCCTACGTTTAATTTTTACATGTATAAATAATTCTGTGTAATATATTTCGAAGTCACGTTGTTTTCTCCCGTGTTTACGCAATGCAGCACGATATTAAATATGTATAAGTTGAAAATTCGTTCAGGGTCCGTCTTTTATAATACAACACAGATCCTTCGCTGAACAAACATTTAATTTCTTTGCTAAACGATTTAATTTGTCTCAAATTCCTTTACTGGACAATTTAACTTGTCTCATATTCAGGGGATCGTAAAATCGCAAGACGTACGTCCAAAAAAATGAATTAACCTTCGCGACAGTCTACAGCACCAGAAAAAAAAGCCACGGAGCTAAACCAGCAAAAACCAGGGATCCTCTGTTGCTCTATAAAAATCGATCTTGCTGGATGTAGACTGAAAAACAGTCTCGCTCGGTGGACTGGTAAACATCGAGTCCCCTGAACGATACAATAGAGAAAGAAAGAACCTAGAGAGAAAGAGAGAATCGGGGAAACGGAAACGAAAGAGAGAAAGAGGTAAGAAAGTGGCGTGTGAAAAATGAACACGAGAAGCTGGACAAGTGTAAGAGGCAAGAATTCGCTTTCAATATCGAGGCTAAAGGCAATTCTCTCTCTTTCTATCTCTCTCTCTCTCTCTCTTCGTCGTTTATTCACTTTCCCCCGTTTTATTGGATTCCAATACTGGCCGCTGCTTATTCCCCATTTATAATTCCCCATCGTTAGGTAGCGGCGACGCGATGACATCGGTTCGATGAAGAGCCTCCACGTGCCCTTTAATGCGCGCCACTCCAATGAATATATATATATATATATATATATATATATATATATATATATATAAATATTTCCACGAGCACTGTAAGAATTCCCTCTATCGGTCACGGTTAAGTGAACAATCCTTTAATAGACATTTATATCGTTAACTTCGACGCGTAGCGAGGCAAGTCAAAGGGGTAGAGTCTTTTAGACTCTCGATCTCTCGAAGAAATCTCCCGACAGATTTCGAGAATTTCCGCCTGTCTGTCAAATCATTTCGAATCTCTTCACTTCTCGAACGATCGAGAGGATCGAACTGAAGCGAGACAATCAGCATTCGAGTCTGACACGAACTCTTGAAAAGTCGAGACAATTTAATTTAAGCAAAGAGAGAATCTTTAATGCTTCCTCTGCATTTTTTCCTTCTTTTTCTTTGTCTTCAATTCTTGCAGCGATCGAACTCGAATTTTATAACGAAAAGTCACTTGAAGCAACAAGACTCACTCACCGATATTTGGGTGCTGCAATTTCCTACATATCCGTGCCTCGCGTTCGAGCTTCTGGAAATCTGAAAAACAAGAGAGAAAGAACGTGTTAGTGAAAATAAAGACAAACTCTTCGTTCAGTTTTGTCGATATTCGATAAATTTGAATAGTTATCAATAAACACATGTTACTACGTTTACTCTCTGATTGATCAGTCATCTCCTAATTTTAGCTACGCAACCAACAGACTAACACAGTATTATTCTCTTCTATCCTATAATTTTTATTATTTGAACAGAATGCCTGTCAGTGACAGAAAAATCATTCTGTGCCAGTAATACAATTTTACACGTGGCTCGAGAATCGAAAGATGAAACAACTGTACATAATACACTTTCGCTAGCAGCGATATTAAAAAATTCAACTCGATCCCTTTGCTCGAATAGACGAACTTTCAAATTGAACAAACTGTTACATCAGTGTCGACAACGTTTGATTTCCATCTCATTTCTTTTTTAAAAAGACTCGTTTATTCGTCACAGAAAGTGTAAAAACAACGATTGGTCGCATACAATTGGCAAGATTGCTTCGAACGTGTCGACGAAGTCGGTTCTCTGTCAACTTATTGTCAGAATGAAGCTGAGCTGTCCTCCTGAATTTCTTTAACAACGAGAGCCTCGTCCTTTTTTGCACAGACTTGGTTTAAAATATCTATCGTTTAAGGAGGAAAGTTTCGGACAAGGGGGGAGAGACTAGACTCCAGTTCGTAAAATATGCCAGCGAGCTTTATCGCGAAAGTTCCGCCGTAACGACGACCAATGGCCACGGGTATAGTCATTACCGCGAGATCGAATTTCCCAACGAGCTCACCCGACGAGTTTCCTCGTGGGTAATTCACCAAGGACCGCGATAAAATTGGATTTGTCGGTGGGCAAGTCATTTCGAGCAAGATTTCCTGTTGCCTTTCTGTTGTGAGCCAGTGCCTGAACGGTCCTCCTTCGAGGACCGACCCTCGGCTTCCACCATCTCCTATTATCGGCCTCGTTCGCTGCTCCTTACTTATTAAATACCATACGTCCTTTCCTCCGGCGAATCTACCTCTTTCGTACAACTGGAAATACTGGAGGGTCAATTATTTTTTATTCACTTCGTTCAGTATTTTCTACCGAGCTCTCTCTCTTTTTTTTTTTAAAAGAGTTTAGAGTACGAGGCATTGACTACGAGGTCTTTGGCGACGTGCTGGTATTTTCTTTTTATATCTGGTCTAGTAGTTGAGTCTTCTTTAAGTAGTTGATAACGTTTTTTTTTTTTTTGTTGTTGTTTCTGGCAGGTTAGATTGTGTTTTGGTTTAATCCGTACTTTATTTCTTATATTTTCGGTATTTTCTGCACTCATGTAGCAGGTGTTGTTGCCCTATTGTCTAAACTATGCAAGAGGTAAGAAACTTTTATAAAAAAATTAAATACCATACTATTAAATACCATAATTTATTAAATGCCATACGTCCTTTCCTCCGGCGAATCTACCTTTTTCGTACAACTGGAAATACTGGAGGGTCAATTATTTTTTATTCACTTCGTTCAGTATTTTCTACCGAAGCTCTCTCTCTCTCTCTCTCTTTTTATATGGGGGTTTAGAGTACGAGGCATTGACTACGAGGTCTTTAGCGACGTGCTGGAATTTTCTCTTTATATCTGGTCTAGTAGTTGAGTCTTCCTTAAGTAGTTGATAACGTTTTTTTTTTTTTTTTTTCTGTTGTTGTTTCTGGCAGGTCAGATTGTGTGTTTTGGTTTAATCCGTACTTTATTTCTTATGTTTTCGGTATTTTCTGCACTCATGTAGCAGGTGTTGTTGCCCTATTGTCTAAATTATGCAAGAGGTAAGAAACTTTTATAAAAAAATTAAATACCATAATTTATTAAATGCCATACGTCCTTTCCTCCGGCGAATCTACCTCTTTCGTACAACTGGAAATACTGGAGGGTCAATTATTTTTTATTCACTTCGTTCAGTATTTTCTACCGAGCTCTCTCTCTTTTTTTTTTAAAGGAGTTTAGAGTACGAGGCATTGACTACGAGGTCTTTGGCGACGTGCTGGAATTTTCTCTTTATATCTGATCTAGTAGTTGAGTCTCCTTTAAGTAGTTGACAACGTTTTTTTTTTTTTTGTTGTTGTTTCTGGCAGGTTAGATTGTGTGTTTTGGTTTAATCCGTACTTCATTTCTTATATTTTCGGTATTTTCTGCACTCATGTACCCAGGTGTTGTTGTTGCCCTATTGTCTAAACTATGCAAGAGGTAAGAAACTTTTATAAAAAAATTTTATTCTCGAGCAATCGACACGTGTCACGGGAACGTACGATGGTAGGAAACTTTCTGTCAAAAAACGTGGAAAAAGAAAGGAAGAAAAAAAGAAAGAAATCCTTTCTTTTCGTTGACTTGCATACGTGTGGTCACGTATGCCTCCGGCAGGGTGCAGTAGGTAACGAGTTTAACGCAAACAAGGGTGGCTCGTTAACCGTTCAGCCAGCTTCGTCTAATCTTGGCCAACGGCGACACGAAACGTCACTCTGCGTACATATCTACAAATCGTCCTTTCATTTGAAAAAAACAAGAGAAATCTGACAATAAGATCGAAATGATATCAAACTAGAAACAAAGAGCTATTACTTTTTCCTACATTATTTAATTCTACAATCTAGTTGAAATTATTTAATTCTACATTATTTCATTCGACAATCTATTGAAAAGACTTATTATTCTTTTCTACATTATTTAATTCTACAATCTATGGAAATTTTATTTCATCTGATTCCATTATTTATATTCTTTTTTCTTTAATTCTTTTTACATGGAGGTTTTCAAATTCAATTTATTGTCGAGATTTTGTTTCTTTATTCTTTTACTTTTCGATCACGCGTTTTAGTAGATTTCTGATGAAAAATTATTATTATTATCGATAATCCTCGTCAAATTTCGTTTACTGATGTATGTAAAATAGATTTTAATGAATCTACGTCGAAAAATTCTCACGGTATGATAAAATATTCTCGTATTTTATATTATAGTATTACACTTTAGTTGCTAAATAAAATATTTAATGTCCGACAAGAAAATCAGTTCACAGAGGTCAAGAATTAAAAAAGAAAAATGTTTTTTAAAACAAAACAAAATTTCCACACGATCCAACGAAATGTTCAATTCATTCTAAAAGAATCAGTCCCTCGAACGATCATTTTACCTCAGTCTCAAAGTTCGAAACGAGCACTGAACCATCGCATTTTTTCCAAAAAAAATTCTCAAACAATGTTCCAAAGACAAATACCACTCAATCCACCTATAGACAGGTGAAATGACCCACTTTCCTCTCTTTCATTCGTTTTCTCCTCCCTCGTCAAGCATTCCGTCCTCCAATTTGCTCCTCCTCGTGTAGCTACAGTATTCTTCTTGTCGGTAGATGCTCGTTAATTCCGGTTGTTTAGACGCGCGGATACGAATGAAGTCTCTGTCTCTCCGTCACCGTGCTGGCGATTTAATTATAGGCGAGAAAGACCGAGGAGGACGAAGAATCGGAGAGCAGAATGCTAGACTGATTTCCTTTTTCGTTTTTTTCTTTCCTTTCTTCTTCTTTCGACGACTTTCGTTCGAAGCCAAGCGAGATATCTCACGCGCTGGATAAACGGATCCGGCTACAGCTAGTGGTGCTTCGAAACGCTTTCTTAAGCGTATTAAATTATTAAGCGGCCACGTCGATTCTGTGAAATTCTATTTTCACCGGAGCCGAGACGCTTAGCTCGACGACTTGGTAATTATTCCGAGGTTTCGCGAAGCGATCGTTATTCGAACGATCGGGTATTTTGTTTTCTGCAAGAAAATATACGAAATATGTACGCTAGTTCGTTAATTATGATTATTTCCAAGTATAATTAATTATTGGTTCCATACTTCAAGATAATAAATAAAATAAACGAAAGTCATCAATTTGAAATTGTAACGTGCTTTAAACTGTCGAATGGGAATGTATATCTTTTGGAAGTGAAAAACTATCATCTTATTTTCGCAGGTATAATCATCCTCTGATCAATTGTACCACGATTTCATACTCTGTACAATAAATGTACGAATTAATAATTAAATAATTGTGTATACATATGTATATATACGTGTGTTGTATACGTATACATAATTATTTAATTATTATATACTATAAATATTGTATATTATATATTATATACTATTATACTATAAATATTATATATTATATATTATTATATTATAAATATTATATATTATGTATTATTATTATAATATATATACTTAATATAATAAATTCACTTTACAATACATTTTATTTATACTTTTTGCACTAAATACTGTGCAAATAAAACTTTATAACGATATACATTTCATACTTTTCATAACGGACACACCTGTGTGTACATATATTATACAATATTATACAAATTCACCCTTTACCCTTCGTCGAACCTCGTTCCATATCTTTCCATTATCGCGGACATTTTCGATACATCTGAATACACATGGTCGCTGAAAGTATACGGATCCCCGGGAACCCGTAGGAATTGCAAAGAATACATCGCAAAGAAAATCCCGCGGAAATCCTCTTTCAGCGCGGACTTATCAACCACCTTATCGTCCACCTTCATGGAGCAACTTCTCCTCCTTCTCCTCCTCCTCCTCCTCTGCCTCTAAAAGCAACGACAGTGGATCGGCGAGACAAGCTCACCGTCTCCGGAGATCCGTTTCCAGTCGTCTAAAACTAAGAAAAGCCACGGATAAAGCTTCATGAATCAAATTCCCGCGGAATTCGTCTTCCTTTCATTCTCGTCCTCGCCGCTACGAGTACCTCCACCGTGGCTCGACGAAAGAAAAACGACGTCTTTGGGAAGAGAGCACATGTTTTGTTGATTTGCAAAATCAAAAATGTACACTTGCAGGGAGATTTACAGCGTATAACAGTGTTTATTTGTAAATTAAAGATAATAATAAATTAGGAATAATTTTCAGATTAGCCTTCAATTTCACTCAATTTAATTGTAACAGTCGTTGCTCGTTGCCAGTGT